AATTAAAACACACCATTATTGTTTAACTCTTCCATCTTTTTGACAAGACAAAATACCAGGAGACCTAACTATGTTAATTTAATTGAAGGTTTCAGGCCCTTTGGTCCAAAATACAGAGAGCGTTTTCAAGGGAGTTCCCAATGAATCAGGGCCTAGGACAAGGAAATCCATGCATCCTTTTCAATATCACGTCAGAAAAAGCATTAGAAACATACGTGTGAGCACCTGAGAGGTAGTACAGACCAACCATAAGGAACTTTATAAAGTCAGCCAGTGCAATGTCTGGTATACATAGACGATATAGCGCTACTTGGGTACGGTTGCAGGAATTGTCATTGTATGCGCCTTACGGGACTCCAACTTCGGGTTTGAATTCAGAGCTTCCTTCTCTTAGATGAGTTGACGACCAAGGTCAATGAGTCACATCCACTGGATATGGTGGGCCCGGACGAGAGAGTGAGGTTGACGCCGCGCAACTCTTCCTCACTTTAAACAAAAGTCACTAGCGCAAGTCATCAGTCACCGGACGACTCGATGGTCATCGTCGATCCTTGACGGACGAACAACAACAAAGCGCTACTTGGAAGAAAAAAAAATGTTATAATTAAAACTTTCAGGGAACTTGAAGATGTCACGTTCAAAGCTGGTCTTGATGTAAATAAAGCGAAGGCAATATATATGATAATGTCAGGAAATACGCACGCGATGACAACATCATTATAAACAACCACACCTTTGAGAGAGTAGCTACTTTCAAATATCTAGGAGTGACTATAAATAAGCAAACGGAAATAAAATCGGAGGTGAAAGAAAGGATGACAGCATGCAATCGTTCTTATTTCAACGTACAAAAGCTACTACGAATCAAAAACCCTCTTTAGGGAACAAAGAAGGCATGCGCAATATACATCACTATCATAAGACCAGTAGTAACTTAAACAAGTGAGACTTGGTTCCTTCCAGAAAAGCAGAGAAGCTTCTCAATATATGACCCGATGATATACAATTTTATTTTGGGAATCCGTACGATCCAAAATCTATATCAATTGTACAAATACCCATCCAAAGTCGCAACAATAAAAAAAAAAAGGCAGGCTGCCCCGGACAGGACACATGCCTTGAAAGGATGCCGTATTCTGAAGCAGCAAAAATGATCTACAGGCAGAAACCCAGGGGCAGATGGCTCCCCGGTCGACCAAGACTGAGATGGATTGACCATGTAGAGACGGACTTACAAAGATTGGGGGTTCGCGCATGCAGGCGGAAAGCGATGGATCGAACCGAATGGAAGAATGTGGTGGAGCAGGCCAGGGCCACTGATAAAGAAATTTCAGACCTTTGGGTTGGAAGCACTAGAAATAGCCATAATATCAGGACAAGATTCCACCAGCACAATATTAACTATTTTCATTCCAGTTAGGAGCCCTTATGATATGCTTTTTTTTTGGTCGAGAGATACTCCCTAGCTTAGACCCGCCCCTTAAAACTTTGAAGGCCAATGAAAATTTTTGATGAATTTCAAAATGCAAGAAGGCATTTTTGTTCATAGTTGCATTTAGTTTTGCATCATTCTACACTTAACTGGAGAGCAACGGGAGAGATGCTAGTTAAGGTTGTTTGTGTTATGTGACCTCAGAGCCATCGTGTGAGGTCTGCAACCTGTATAGCTGAATAGGGCTTCATATATTTTAGGGGCTAAAAGTTGTGGTGTAATTACTTTACGTTATCAACTTTTACTGCTAGGTAGGGAAGGACAAAACCGATAAGTAGCAAGGGTGCCACAAAAAGTCAAGCGACGTCTCTGCTTGACTAAGTATTTTTTTACATTTTATTGAAGAGTAATGTGTTTTGTAAGTTTTTAAAAAAAATATTTTTGTGGTTACCTACGTAAAAAAAATAATGAATTTACTAAAAAATATTTTTAAAATTTGAAAGAGAATTCCTTCCAAAAATAGGTATCCATCATAAAAAAGAAATTCTAAAATAGTTTTACATTTTGAACGTAAAAGAAAAACCAAAAACGTACGTTTATTTCTAAATATTTCTAAGTTTTACCAAAGTCAAAAAGAAAAAAAATCGCTTTTCTGTAGTAAGGGCTATACATTTTTGTGAGTTTTCAAATTTTGTATTTATTTTAAAATCGTATGTAACCTACATAATTGTTAAGAAGTAATGAGTTGTTTACAAAAGACATCACATATTTATTAATGTGAGATTTTTTTAATTTAATTTTTTTTTTCTTTTTTTTTGTGAAAAAAATCGTGTACCGGTACACATAAAGTTTAAATTGTCAATATTCAATTGATGGATATGTTAATTTAGATTTTCAAACAACTATAATTTGCTTCAGATCAATTACAACTTGCCTCTTTTATATTATACTTTAAAGCAATTTTTTAACAATTCCATAGAATTTATTTTTAACTGCTACCAAAAATAGCATTTACAAGTTAATCGAAATACTAGGGTTTTTTTTAAATGCGTTGTTTAAATATATAAATTATTTCCCCTGGATTATCATCTAAAAAGATTTTTTTTTTTTATAAATAAGTTCAAAAAGCTAGGAAAGCTTGTTTATTTTAAGTCTTTGGGGATTTCATAAATAAAGGCTTTTTTTCTTCTTTTTTTTAAAAAATCATTCAACTCTGCTGTTCCCGAAACTTTGTTACAAAATTAGAAATGCACTCGGTTTAATTAATAATAATTTATGAAATGTCTACTATTTGTATGCAACCGGTAAATTCCTAATTTAAAATATAATTAAAAATTGTTTTAAAATATTGTTTCTTTTGGTTGCTTTTTTTAAAGTTTTCATTTTATCTAACTCAATATTATACATGTATGGTATCTAGTACATTAAAATGTATGCAAAAAACGGATTTAAAAAAAAGAAAGCACGATGCTATTATACAGTTTAGAATTAACACTTATCTCTACTTTAATAGTAATGCTTTTATGATGAAATATAATTTGAAAATAGATTGCAAATATCTATTACTTAGCAAAAACTATGTTCAATATATCCTCCTCATCCTCATGTCCCTTAGTCCTTGGACCGTTGGGGCGCCACAGATGACATGTGAACCATATTATGTAGAGTTAGTTTAATACAGTGTTATAAAAAGTCTTTCAACTTATGCAGCTGCAAAATATAAATAAATGAAAACACCGATAAACGCGAATAAGAAAAGTAAGATTTGGCTTTATGGTCTGGAGCGGCCAATTTTCAACCCATTTTTAATAATTATAATGTTTATAATCGAATTCTGCGAGCCTGTACAAGATTAACCTGAACGATAGGGATCATCAATATATATCAAACAAATCGATATTTTATTGGTTCCATTAATTGTAGTCGACGAAAGGCACACATTTTTATTACTTTTAAAATTCTATAAAAATAAAATTTAGAGTAGTTTTTTATTTAAAAAATTATTTTTTCTTACGCATTTTCTCCCTGCGGGGGGGGCCACTTTACTTGCTGGGGGGGGAGCCTCCCCCCCCCCTGATATATGCCTGAAAGAAACCCTGGTCTCTCCTCCCCAGAGAATTTCTATGTTTCTTATTTTGGTATTTAAAGTGAGGGAAGGGGTTTGGGGAGGGGCCCAGTTCCTAGAAGATCATTCCAAATACAATTTAAGCAGTAGTCTTTCTTTTGTTACCTAAGTTTCAACATACAAAATCCAAAAATTGTTTATCTTCTAAGCGCTCCAGTTCTCTTTGTATTTAAATAAAGAAGCCCTTTTTGTCCCCTCCTATTTAAAAAAAAATCGCAATGTAACGCAGGCCAGGGGGGGGTGCGAAAAGTGGCTTAGCTATGTACAAGTACAACTAGGTTAAGTACGGTTAGTTAACAACTTAGTTAGTTTAGGGGATAAGGCTAATAAAGGCCACCCGGAACGGGGCAAGAATTTTTACGTTCCACTCCAATAAAAACAAAACTGCCTGCTCCCTGATGGAACGTCCACACACTGTAATTTTCCTACTCCACTGTTTACGAAGCTTAGTCAAACAAATTGTATGGAGTACAGGTGCAGACACTAAAAGATAGGGACGCCCTGAATACTCAGGCTCTAAAATATTGGATATTCCCGAACTTCAATTTCTATTTATCAGGGGGGATTACAAAATAATTATATTCTCAGAAAATTTTTAGTGAGTGACCTCCTCGCCTCTACAGATTCATATCAATAGTCAATATCATAAATTATAGTTTAGTAGGACTTTGTGTCTGTGACTGTGACAACTCTGAGTAGGTCTACTCAGAAATACGGTATAAACTAAGCCATGTTATAACTTATGAACTTTGTCTTGGTCGTAGTCATAATGAATCATTAAGACTAAGAGCAGGACCTACGACTTGACTTATGACTGACAGTTGCTATGGGCTAAGTAAGGCTTCGTAAAGTCAAAGTGAAAGTTTTCTCAAAGTATTTAATTATATTATTCATTATTGATTGGGTCTAGTATAGTCTCTTAATTATGATACAATATAATATAATGATTAGGCCTAGTCTTTTTGAGCATATGACCTACTCTAATTCATCTAGTTTTAAATCTTTTAGACATTTTCATTTATTTAGTGATAGTATTCAATAGTATCGATAATAATCAAGCCCTAGCCCTAACAAAAAGTCTGCATAATACCAGAACTAGCATAACATTAAATTAGTTTTACTAGTATTAGTTATTAAATTAGTCTACTAAATGTAGTATTCTTATTTTTTTTAAATATAAAATGCAAGTTATCTTATTCTTGTCATTACTCTACACCTTGACTTCTTCATAAATTATTAAATGAATGTGTAAATTATATACCGGTAACATTAACAGGATTAATTTATAAATAAATAATATAGTTATAGGCTTAAACCTAACATTTTCAGTACCTATAATAAAAATATTATGGGCCTAGAACTAAAATTATTAATGTGTACATTGTAACAATGTACAATATATATATGCCTAGACCTAAGATTATTAATGTATAAGTTATATAGGCCTGGACCTAGTATTATTTTTTTAAGGAGATTTGAAATGGCAAAAGAAACTACACATCGACAAATCACATTTCTAAACCAGGAGCTAAATGTTCTTCTAAATGAAGCTGAGCAATTGAAAAATGGCATTGACATTTACTCAACAAGGGTAATAATATGCAATATAATTTTACTATATCATTCATATATACATGTGTGTTTGTGCTGTATTTAATTTAGAAAAATATTAGCATTTCTTGTAATTTGAATGCAGATTGTTAATGAAACTAATTACACTGATACCAATGTTCACTAGTATACCTCTTGAAATGTAGATATTCACATGTTGTGCATTTACTCTACGGTAACTGAAAAGTTATCATACTTTTATAATTATGACCTAATCAATAGGACCATAAACAATGGCATTCTATTGCCTGCCCTAATTTATAATTATGGTTCCATTAACTAGCCTACTTTGTTTGTTGTGATCATTGATATTAATAATATTTGGATAAATTGACTTTTACCATTACAAAAACAGTGTTTCTCAATATTTATGTCTATGCTACTATTTATTAATCAATATACTGTAAATTTATTTATTCTCAAATTTGGAAACACAAGTAGGCTTGGCAGCTAGATCACTTTCTAAAATGAAATGAAGCAGATAAAAATTCAGACCATTGGTCAGTGTCCATTTCTGCCTGCATTGAAAAAAAATTAGTAAAGGAATTACGCAGTTAACTTTTCTTTGGTGTGAGTTTGTTTAATATTTTTAGAACCATTGATGAATATCCATTTCAGTGTGTATTGATCATATCTATGAAATTAAAAATATTTCAGCTAGATTAGAGCATGTATTTTTAAAAAAAACAACCACTAAACACAATGAAAAATACCTATATATTTCTATTAATAGGTAATTAATAAAGCAAAAGTTTGGATTGATGGCCAAGGAAGAGATCAGGTGAAATTCGTTGATTTGTTACAGAAAGTTCAAGATGCCACTGTGCTCATTGCAGAAAAATGTAAAGAAATTAATGGCAAGTAAATACTAAAATGAAATCTTATGTCGTTATGTATTCCCATCATAATCAATCTTCATCAAACCTCTTTTTTTTTTATTATTATCAGCTAATTATATTAAGTCCCAGTAAAACCCCATTCATTCTCACCATACTACAAAAGCAATATTTTATTTGTAATATTGTTTATTTTAGATTTCAATGAGTTACAAGATGTAACTACAACTGCACCAGCAACATCAAGCACACAGATTCCAAATATTTCAGAATCATCATCAAGTAATGCATACATGGTTGGTGGTGGCAATCCATAAACAATGTCACATGTCAGAGAGGGGGCAGGGAGGCACAAATTTTTGACATTGTGTGATAAAAGAACAAAGTGTCTAATTTTTGTTACAACTTTGGGATTTTTTTTTTTTTTGGAGCGTGTGTTTGAAGTAACATGACATCTTTTATGAATGGCCCCTAGTTAGAATATTGAACATTATTAACTTGTAATCACCAAACACAGGAGATTGCTAGAAAAAGGTTTATAATATTTTTTTGTTTAAAATTTTTACCATTTTTCACATCTTGCACAATATTGACTAAAAGTTAAATGTTATTAAATTTATGAAAAGGGTTCATTACTTATTCACAAGAGATAATAATATATTATCAATAAAGCATAAATTTTAGTTAGTGGTATTTCACTTAGCCGTAAATATATGTTTATTCACTTTAATAATAATGATTGTTTATAGTGCTGTTGGTTTTAAATTTTTCAGCAATTTTAACACCTAATTAATGTTAACAGTATAAGAAAATCGATTTAGAATTATTTCTGTATTTAGAATCAGAATTTTTTTTTATGGAATTAATTTATATTTTTTAATGATCCTCACTATATTGTATCGTTTTGTAATAAAATACTTGCTTTCAGATGATAACAAAGAATTCCAGAAATATTTGGACAAGCTCGATATACTTGAAGCAGACTTTTGCGCTCTAAAATGTGCAATAAAGAAAGTAGAGAGCAAACAGGAACAGTTTGCTAAATGGATCGAAACAGCTGCTGAGAAATCTACAGATCATGACAAAGAGATCGACATCTTGTCCGAAGATATGTCCAAGTTTATCAGAACTCATGAAAAACAAATCAAGTCACAAGAAAAGCAGATTAAAAATCTAAGTGAAACCATAACAGATGTCAGGTCTCAGAGCTGCTCTAAATTTGATGAGGTCATGGGGGAGATGTCAGCAGCAAGTGATTTCATGGCCACAATGAAGGAAACTTTAGAGTCTCTCTCATCCAAAGTTGAAGAAAATGTGGCAAAACTGGAAAGTGTTGAGAGCAATCAACATGAGCTGACAAGCTCATTAATGGACCAAGAAAAACAATTGACAACTTTAGGAACTGAATTAAAAGATATTCATGAGAAGGTAAAGTTAGGGAAACTTAAGATGTCTTTGAAATCCATATCATTTTAGTTTTAAAGGTTGATGTAATTTTTTTTAAAAGTAAATTTTCGTTAAGCAAATCATTTTCTTTAAAAATCAGATTTCATTGGCATTTTAAACTTTGAATTTAGATTTAGAGATTCAGGCAATAATCTACCTTTTTCAATAATAGGATTAATTTCCTGTCATAATGTTCAGCACAGAATAAATAAAGTGCTCCTTCTATCTTATTTTCAAGTGCATCCAGAATATTTTTATGATATTTTAAAAAGTAAGTGTGGGATTTCATATTTCAATATAGATTGTATTTGTTCTCAATATATCATTACAGTATGGAGTGCTCTGTCAAACACTAACTAAAAGGTTGATGCCATTAGTTGCTATTCAAGAAGCTCTTTACAATAAAAAGACATCCATAGAAGAAAACAAAAGCAAGGTAATTGTTTTCTTCTGGTTCATTGGCCCTAAAATTATATTGTTGTTTTTTAGCTTATGATTTATAATGAAAATAAAATCCTAATTAAATCAGCAGTTCAGAGCTCTTACTCTTATGGGGTTTTTTTAAACCATTGGAATTGGTTAATGACAAATAATGAAGTTAAATTTGTTTGATAAAAATATGTTTTATTTTTAAGATCACTACAATTTGAATATATTTAGGGGCACATTGTCATAAGTATCATTAGTTTTACTAAATTTTCCAAAATAATTACAGCTTTCAAGTCTTGAGATGAAAATTACAGATCTTTCAAAACAATTAAGCCAAACAGGCAAGTGACCTACTTATTGCTCTCAATAATACTCAATCACCATTTTAATTTTTAAATACGCAGAAGTTTTTAAATAAGATTCATTGAATTTTTTATTGAGAATTAAATCAAAAGTCTAACATACACATTTAATTTTTAGTTAGGCTTTCTTCAGGATAATAATAATAATAATAAAGTTTATTTGAAAAACACGCTTCATCCCCAAAGGCTCGAAGCGCGGTACAAAGTCAACCATATTAACAATCTATAATTTACTACATTTAAAACAAACGCAACACTACAAATACTAACTAGAAGCGTACCAAGTCAAAGTCTTTCTACCCATTTCAACCCTAAGCAACACAGCCAATATGCATTAACTGGAAAATATGGTAGACAACATGATCCCAGAAGGTGCTTGCGAAATAGATGTGTCTTTAAATCGGTTTTGAAGGACTCCAGTGTCTGGTTGTTTCTGAGAGCGACAGGAAGGGCGTTCCAAATTGTTGGGCCAGCAAATGCGAAAGTGTGCTATGCGAAAGTGTGCTTTCTGCAAGTCTCAAGGCCAACACGTGGTGTCGAGGGTTTGCCACTATCGGATGATCGGAGTCGTCTAGTGGGTACATAAGGCGTCAGCAGCCTTTTGAGATAGGACGGCGCCAGGTCATGTAAGCAGCGGTAGCACAAAGTTGCAATTTTGTACTCCACGCGAGCGTTGACCGGCAGCCAGTGCAGCTCTCTCAAAAGTGTTTTAGCATGGTCGAACTTGCCAGGATGAGAATATATTGTAATTAAAAATTTTAGTTTACAGCACTGAAATAAAAAATGTTTTAGAAAATATTAATTATTTCCATTATTTTTCCATACTTTTTCCGTACAAACTTTTAATCTAAAATAGAAATAATTCTTTTTTGACCCCAGTATATTCACTAAACAACCCAGAATCTTTTTAAGAATATTGATATTACACATGAATTAAATAGGCCCAATGCTTTAAAAAATTAATCCACAATTGGTGTAAAAAAAAACCATTAAAATAAAAAAATTACATTTTCATAAATTCAAACATTATTTTTACAGAAACTCAACAAAGTTTAGCCTTCTCTGCGACAACATGGGAAAAACAGCTGATCGATTCTGATGGCCAGGCCTTCAAAATAAAAAATTTTAGCAACATTTCTGGCAATGCTGGCGACAGTTTTGATCCTCTGGCTGGGGAATTCACTGCTCCTTCCAATGGGTTGTATTTTATTTCTTTAACAATAAAAAATATGAATGAATTTTCCATATTGGGTCAAATGCTAATTAATGACCCAGAGACAAAAGAAGAAAGAGGTGGCTTTTGTTGCATTGAGAGGCTGCTACCACAGATGTGCCAGTGTACTGCCACCGTCATAGAATTGCAAGAGGGTGAAAAATTGTTCATCAGGCTTCTTAAATTGAATGAAAAAACCAATAAGCTTGACTTACGTATGAAATTGGTTTGTTTATTTATAAAGTGATCAAAACATTTAAACTCAATTATCCCTTAATTAGCCATTTTCTAATTGATTGCTCTTGGGGCATGTGCCATTCTGATCTATACATTCTACCGCATTATCGATATGCATGACACGATTAATAACTATGATTTCTTTTCTTTTAAACATTCCAGATTTATTCATTCACTATAAATAAATTATAAGTCATACAATAATTTTGTTTTTAAACGTAAGACAGTTTGGCTGTCCGAAAGATTTCAATGCATGATGTACTTCACCCAGGGTTGATTGTATGCTGAAATTAATACCAAAACAATTGGTTTCAAGGAATGGAACCAAAACAACAAAAATAAAAATTAATGTATAGTTTACATTGTCCTCATATATCTCAATCCCAATTTTCCTTAAGGCATTTTCAATGATCACAGTTGAACCAATTTCATTTTGAACTAATTTCCATTGGAACTACATACTTTCGCACAAATTTATTTGAACTTATTACCTGTAACCAGGATTTATAGACTCGTCCATAATGAGCAATCAATTCCACCCAGCTATTTACCCATAACTGGGGTCAACTCCTATTATTATTCTAACCTAGTAACTCTTTGGTTGTGGCAAGGGCAAGTTACTTAAATCATTCTCATTTAATTCCATTGTTTTTCAAACTATGTATTGAGATAATTATTCTGATGCTTGGGGAAATATTCATTTAATTCACTTAAATAAACGACATGGAATTCCAAGCATCAAAACATTTTAATGATGTTACTCAGTATCAGCTTGTTTAAGAGATTTTGGTATCTGCCATAAATGGTACCGGTAGCATCTATAGAGCTACCAGATGTGAAAAATCTGCAGTTGGAAATAAAACCGTAGAAACAGGGTAGGGATTACATATTGCCACTAATGGATATGAGGCATGAGGTGGGTACCGTAGTGGCAATGCCATGCCTGTGATACTATTTGCACAGCAACTGAGATAGCTGTTCCTAGGCAACCGTTTCGCCCCAGCTACTTCGTAAATTAGTTGCGAGGTAGAAACCCACTGTAGAAATCCCTAATAGAGGGCATCTAACGCTTCCCCAGGATGAGCAGGTGAAAATTTTAGTATGTAAATATACCATAACGACGCTGGCAAAATCAACTCCTGACGCTGTGAGAGCGGCGTCACCGGCCAACCGTATATCCTTGGGCTGGGATTGCCTCCATTGGTACATACTCGAATGGGTGCTGGCCGGGCTGTTATGGCAAAGGGAGATTTCAAACGCACCGCTTCGTGGCTCGATAACATAAAGAGGTCATAAAGAGCTAATGTACTAGCTTGACGGCTCGCTGATGCCTCTTCCTAATGTACATTTTCAGGAGATTTAAAGAAAACAAGGGTCAGAATAAAGAGGCCTTGAAAATCTTTTCTTGTTAAATTTGAAAATTAATTGCTCATTGCTGTGATGTTACAGGATAAAATATTATTTACTTCTTTAAAATTTTACTGTTCCTGTTATATTATTTCAAATCTCTCACATTCATTAATTAATATCATTAGTTTCTGACTTTAGTTCTGTATTGTGAACCTATAAATTATACTATAGTCTCTATATTTCTATTAGTACCATATTAGTATTTGCATACGCGTAGTCATCTCTTTCCTTTTATGAAAACATAGTTTTATTCAGACCAACATTTCTCAAACTTTTCAGTTGGAACAGTAGGAATGCATCAGAATTCTAGCAAGGATCAGTGGCCAATTTAATGAATACTTTACTTTTTCTCTTTTATATTCTTAATTTATTTACCTTTATATCAACAATATTGTGCCCATCGAACAATTTTTAGTACCTCCCATTTGACTGGAGTTTTCTAAAAACACTTTATTCAGAAAACTCATTGAGACTTTCAGTGTTTTGAATACGATAACCTGCAAGTTCAATCGTAATATCGAAACTCATCAACAAATGTAATTATTTGCTCATTGCTGCTCCCTGTTTGATACCTTATTCTATGGTGATCAAAAGTCAACATTGTGTGTGCAATATTTTTAAAGCACAAAGTAAAGTGGTGCTCTAAAATTAAAATCACAATTTTCATCTGTAAATATTCCAATAGTTACCAAGTATACCTGAATCTGCATTACGTTTTACTGACATGCCCGGTATTAATATTTATTACCGGTAATATTAACGTGTAACAGATTGTTATTTTGGCTTAATCATTTTTTGGCGGATCTAATTATTGTAAAATAAATTAACCATTATTATTTATTTTTTGTTAAAAGTTGATAACAATAACCTAATTAATTTGAAGAGTGTCACTTTGCCTGAAAACTTTGCAGACTATTTAACCTAAATCTACTACCACTTACAGTTGTGCTAGACAAACCTAACATTCATTTTAATAGTTTTCAAATTATTGATCTGATAACATGCCTTCATCATTAACTTTGAGTCAATTTGACCATGACCTTGGGTGTATAGACAAGCTAGAATGAACAATAAAAAAAGACAATTCTAAAAAGAAGAAATTTATAATAGAAGTTTATTTGTTTTAAAATAATGAGATATTAAAACTCATTGGTGATTTAAGTGAAGTACATGGTTAAATAGAACCAAAAAAATATATCAAGTCCATTCCATCTACTAAGAGATTAGGTACCATCTACTTATATTTTCAATATATTTATTCATCTACTGATAACAGGTTTCAAATGCTTATGACACATATCAAGGACTGTAGGTATTGCCATGTTATTTGGCTCAAAAGTCGTACACATTAAATAAAATAGGTAAAATGTAAAAAAAACAGAAACATTATTATTAAACATAATTTTACAGGAAGCAAAAGCTTCAAGTTCAAGCTGAACATCAATCAGTGCACATCTTAGGCTGTTTATTTTTACAATTCAGTTGGCGTCATCACATAATGATTAATTTGCATATTTTTTTTTTGTCCTGAATCCATCAGAGCCGAAGTTGTAAAAGTTTCTCCGACTCTTCAAAATTTTCAAAACAATATCCAGACCATTAGAAAACTGGCAAAGCTATGTGTTCATTCTAAGACTTTTTTTTTTTGGGGGGGGGGGGGGGGAAAAAAAAAAAGAGAAAAAAAACAAGTCCAATATCATATTCCAGAGGTTTGTCATGAATATAATTCTGTATTCAAAGGCCAAGCTTATGCCATGACACTGCTAATCAATGCTAGCTGGTGAAGGTGGATGGATCAAGTTTAGGCCAGACAACTTTTATTAATTAAGGTCAAGGTTGAGGGTCTCAACTAGGCTAAGAATGGTACTTACACCAATCACATTGCTGGCTAATGGATAGCGCATTTTACTTAAACAGTACTGAGCTCAGTCCCTTTTGATTTTAAATGTTCTTATAGATTAATCCACACTTATTAATATATGAGGTTTTCAATTTATACAAACTGGTTAAATTAAGCATTATGATTTTAAGACATTTAAACTAACATTGTCAATAAATAAACTATTTACTATTGTAACTTGTTTTCAATAAAATAAACATACTCATTTATATATTTTAATAGCATGCATCGTGTGGGTAAAATGCAACATTAAGTTGGTTTGATGCACAACAAACAAAAACTTGAAACAAATGTCCTCCAGGAATGGATCTTGTTCATAATCAAGAACTGCCTCTAAACAAACCCATTCAAAAAATGTTTGTTTTGTTTAAACCAGGTTTCCAATGGAGCTTGTCAACAAAAAAAAAAGGATAATGAACTATACAAATCTACTTTCAATTTGGGTAGTTAATATTAGAATTAATAATCTCAATGTGAACAAATCAATTAAGAACATTTCTATGTGAATGAACAGAGTAATTATGATATCAACCAATAAAACGTTATTTCTTTTAAATCTGTGTTTAGGCAAAATGAAATAATAAAACTGTTTTAACAAAAATCTGAAGCAACCAATTAAAACAGAATATATGTATTTTCTGACAGAAAAAGAACATGTTCTGTTTTATTTCTGTTTCATTTTCAAAGGTTTAAATACCAGAATAAATAATGTCCTATACCATTTGTAACAAGACAAATTTGGTCAAATCATTTGACTGAAATAAATAACACCAGTCGGCCCGGAAAATGTTATTATGCGGCCCTCTAAGGCAGTGGCTCTCAACCTTTCTAATGCCCCGACCCTTGCTTACAGTTCCTCATGTTGTGGTGACCCCCAAACACAAAATTGTTTTTCGATGCTACTTCATAACTGTAGAGCAGGCCTGCACAACTCAAAATGTAAGGCGGGCTGTAATACTTTATGAAAAACTTGGGCAGGCAAAAAGAAAATTGGACAGGGGGAAAGCTATTAAGAAAATAATTAGAAAAAAGAATATTTCGTTACTTCGCGGGCTGCATGTGGCCCGCAGGCTGTATGTTTGTGCAGGCCTGCTGTAGAGTAGATTTATTTTCCTTTCATCAAAGGCGACCCATGGGAAGGGGTTGTTCGACCCCCAAAGAGATCGCGACCCACAGGTTGATAACCACTGCCCTAGGGCATTTAGAAATAAAAAAATTTGTTTTTAAAATAGTTTGTTGAATTTTACATAATTTCATGTACCATACCATTATGATTGTTTTAACATTTAGATCAAACTTCTGTCTTATTTTCTAATTTTTTAAACATTCCTTAAATGTTGTCATGTAATGCTAAAATGCGAAAAATGTTTATCGACATGTAAAAATTTGACATAATATGCATGCGGCCCCCCAATGGTTTTACATTTGTCAATGTGGCCCTCCGCACAAAAAGTTTGTCCATCCCTGATCTACACCACTGGTTCTCAAATTTCCAAAATAAATATTTGTTCTCACTCTTTGAAGACTAAACATATGCATTATTGCCATCTCAAAATGTCACATGTTTTCATGCTTTTAAAAATAGTTTTAATGTACAGTATTTAATTAATCATTATACATTATGCTACTTTACAATTACAAAGTGAGATTATCAGCTTCTGAAATGTTTTTTTTTTATCATGCTTTCAGATGACATATTCTTTAAACATCTGCCTGTAATATATTCATGGAGAAACAAACAATGCTATTTATACATATCAAGGCACATTTAGTTAGGATTTAAATAACACAATTTCAAAAGTAAAAGAAAATGTCATTTATTACAAAATAAAATAGTATTTTAACACCATTATTCAACACCAATATGTGGTGGGACTATGCTGTAAATTTCATTAGCTTTGCATCACATCAATCACAATGTCATAAAATAATCTCTTCCACTTTTCTGTAGACAGAAGCAACATGAATGCTTCATTTTTTTTTAAAATTAAGTGAAATGTTTTAAAATATCGTAATTGCATATTTTTAAATTAAGGAAAAAATGCTTTGGAAATAACATGTTAATGGACTACAAGTGTAACTGTAACAAAAGTCTGATAATAAAAGAACTTGCTGTATCTGATATCAAGTCTGATCTAATAGTTTCCTATTTAAGTTAAAGGTAAAAATAGGGCTTTATTTTGAGAGATAAATCAGCATTTCTGTGCGTGAGCAAAGCAATATGACTGAATTTAAAAAATGACATTTTTGGGTATGTTTTGCCCTTTTCGGCCCTATTACTTTCTTTGCACATGCTGTCCTGTCAGCTGATAAATGCATGTTCTGTTTACACACAGATTTACCACATAAATAAGATATGCTCAGCTATTTTTTTAGCTGTATTGCAGTTAAATCCCTTTTTTAAATGTTGTGGTGGACATTCTCTTGCCCATGGGTGATAATATCAAATATCATGCTAAAGGTACTCTAAAGTTTGTTCACAAACTGTTGACTCTTTCCAAAACAAAGAGAATGATTGATTTTTGTTCCTGTTCTCTCACCTCCCAGTAGTTAAAACTGGTTTATAGATTACACAATGATCAATGTCAAATGCAGCAATTGAGAAGAGTTATTGAATACAAATCCAGTAAATATTCAACACAGACATGTGGTCAAGCGAAATAGAGGTGTATGCTGACAATAAAAATATCTTTCCTAATTATTTGACCGCTCAATGCAGATTTGAGGAAATGCAGTCATTAGCGGTGCCGAATATGTACCCTTTGATGCTTATTCAAGTGAGCCCGCTGGATAAAGCTCTTACTACACATCTCACATTTATGAGGTCTTTCTCCAGTGTGAATCATTGTGTGCTGTTTCAGATGTGAGTTAGTTACAAAGGCTTTACCACAAAACTCACATTTGAAACACTTGTCTCCATGTTTGTGTGTCAAAATATGTCTGTTGAAAAGAGAATTCAGTGAAAATACTTTGAAACACACATCACATTGGTAAATCTGTTTGCGAGCATGTATCAACTCATGCCGTTTCAGATGAGAACTTTGCCTAAAGCGTTTTTGGCACGTATTACATTTAAATCTTTTCTCCCCATAATGGGTGGGCTGATGGCGCTTTAAGTGAAAGCGGCTCATAAAAACTTTGTTGCATAAATTGCATGTGTAGTTGGATTCTTCATTGCTATTTGAACAATTTTCTAGCAATGCACTTAACAAAGCTTGCTCATCAACACGGGCATGCCTCGACTGATGATTTTTCAAATGTGCATTGCGAGAAAAGGCTTTGCCACATAAGTCACACTTGTATCTCCTCTCCCCAGTATGGATGAGCTGATGACGTCTCAGAAGCCAGCTTTTCAAAAATACTTTGCTACAAATGTCACATTTATAAGCCTTTTCTCCATTGCTGGTGTAAGTCAAATATTGATTCAGAGGAGAAAACTTTGAACGTGATTTACCACCATTAGACTTTGGGCGCAAATGTGTCAGCTGATGTTTTTTCAGTTGGGAACTTTGTGAAAATGCCTTATTGCACTTTTCACATACATAAGGCTTCTCTCCTGTGTGTATCATCCTATGTCTCTTCAAATTTGAACTGTTTGGAAACGATTTGCTGCACAAGTCACACTGATACGACTTCTCTCCTTTACTGTTGTATGTCAAGAAAGGTTTTAAATCCAGTGTCTGTGAGAATTCTCTTCTGAACAGAGAATGACCATTCGCTTCTTCTCGAGTGTGTACCTGCTGATGTTTTTTCAAAATTTCGCTTGTTGTGAAGGCCTTGATACACTTGTCACATTTGTATGGTCTTACACCAGTGTGGATCAATTTGTGCCGGTTCAGGTGAGAGGTGTTGGAATAATACTTGTGGCAAATGTTACACTCGTAAGCTTTTTTTATTGCCACAGGTGGGCATAAACTGCGGTTGAAATCAGTGATTTCAGATATCTTATTGTCCACAATATCATTCATCAAGTCCTGTGTGTGTATCAGTTCATGCATGATTAGTTTGGTACTGTCCATAAAACCCTTGCTGCATATTTTACAGTGAAATGGTTTCACTCTAGTGTGAATCTGCTGATGTCGTTTCAAATGCGAGTTGTTTAAAAAAGATTTACTGCACACCTCACAAGTGTGATTTCTTTTCTTAGTCCGGAAATCGGGCAAACCTGGCTCCCGCTTAATAGCTTCAAAAAATGACTTACTGTCAGGATTTTCGTTGGTGTGAAACAACTGATGTTTTTTCAAATACGAAAGCCTTGTAAAAGACTTACTGCAGATTTCACAATTAAATGGCTTATTTCCACTATGCACTGCCTGGTGACGTTTTAGTAGCCAGCTATTACGAAAAACTTTGCCACAATCCTCACAGCTATAGGTTTTAGGTGAATGTGTGCCTCTGTCCCGAAGATGATTTAAATAGTGCTTCTGTAATTTTGATTTTTCTAAAAATGATTTACTACACTGGTCACATTTAAAAGGCCTGTCACCGGTGTGTATGAATTTATGCCGTTTGAGATGTGAATTATTTAGAAATGATTTATTGCATATGTCACAGTTGTAGCTTTTCTTCTCGTTTGCCTCTGTGGTGGGCTCTATTTTGATAAATTGTTCTATACTGTCTGAATTACTTTTGTTGAGTTCCTCTCTGACGTGAATCAGTTGATGCCTCTTCAAATGGCCTTTCTGTGAAAATGACTTTCCGCAAACTTCACATCTGTGTGACTTAACACCAGTGTGAGTTACCATATGTTGAATCAAACTGGAACTTCTCAAGAATAACTTGCTGCACACCCCACACCTGTAGGATTTCTCTCCTACGTGAATCAAATTGTGCCTGTTTAGATGCGACTGACCATAGAAAGACTTGTTGCATATGTCACACATGTAATCTCTGTGTCCTGAATGTATCACTTGATGATCTTTCAGGTGGGAGGCTCTTGAGAACGACTTGAAGCACCTATCACATTTAAACAACTGCGGCATGTGAGCGGAATTGAGTCTTCTCAAATGTGATTGCAATGATGAAGATTTGCTTTTGCTATGACAAGATTTGGTTCCACTGTGTATCAACTGGTGCCGCTTCAGATGGGACATCTGAGAGAAGGACTTGTTGCATAAGCTGCACTTGTATGGTTTTTCTGCCGCGTGTGTCCACATGTGCCTGCGCAAGAGGGAATTGAGTGAAAATGACTTGCTGCACACTGTGCACGTGTAAGGTTTCTTCTCCACATGAACCCACTGGTGCCGTTTCAAATGGGAACCGTATGAAAACGCTTTCTGGCATACTTCGCACCGATGTGTTTTCTCTCCTGAATGTATCAAGCTGTGCCGTGTCAAGAGCCACCTTTTTGAGAAAGACTTATTGCAGAAGTCACATTTGTAATGTCTCACACCTTTAGGCACCAACAGATCATCATCTTTTCCAGAGTTGAAAAAAGGCTTCTGATCAAATGTAAAGCTGCTATACTTCTCAATATGCCGCCAATCATCACCTTTTAAATCAAATAAACCATTTAAAGGCTTTTGCCACAAAGTATCTCCAGTGTTGTTCGACTGATCTCTGGTGATTTCTAAATTCCCAATATCTGAGGTAAAACTTTTTTCCAAATGTGACTGATTTTTGCCGGAAGCGCTGCTGTACGATGAATCTGCTAGTAACATCTGGAGGTATGGTGGCAAAATTTCAATGTTATTCTCAATCTCTTGTTCTATATATTTACTTTGGATTTCTTCCATCTGACAGCCTTCTTGGGCATTATTTTCTTCCCAGGTGTGATTGATTTCATAATCCCTGTGCATAACTTGGGATTCAACCCCAAATGTACATTCTTCATTCTGAAACAAGTCTGACGGCTCTTCTTTGACAGGCACCCCTGGAATGCTTTCCTTCCTTTGTTCAATGAGATGGCTACACAAATCTTTCTCCATTTGAAGGCATTTACTGCTGTAACTCTCACAAGCTCCAATCAAAGTAAGAAGACCTGCAATAAAAATCACAATCACTAATTTCAACTGTGTTTATTTTTTAAATAAATCTTGAATCATTAATTATGAATGAATTTGATAAATAGATCATAATATTAATGAATTTATTTGAATTTTGAAGAAACTAATTTAAGACGCCCACACACCAGATATCCCTCCAGCTAAGCATTGTTATTATTATTAATATTATTATTATTATTACAGTGGTCTTATATATATAGCGCAGTACCTCAGCCTAGGGCTGGGCTCTCTGAGATTCACATAAAACTATTGGCCAAAATAAAAATGTCATTAAAAAAGTTACATACAGTTATTTAATTAAAAAAACAGATTCATAAAAAAATATTCAACCCGCCCACCCCAGAACTATTTACATGTAAAACCATGGACAGCATCCAACAGAATCATTGATCGGTCAGTGGGTGGGTGGGAATCAGTCGGGAAAGTACAGTCTGAAGAAATGTGTCTTGAGTGCAGTTTTTAAGGTCTGGATGGTCGGTATATTACGGATGTGTAGTGGGAGAGAATTTCATCGTTTGAGAGCGTAAAAATAGAAAGCAATGGAAACATAATTGTATTTTTTGTATGGCCAAAGCCGCACTGTGAGTGTTAATGCTAAAATGCTTTGTCTGCTTATGTCACTGTCCTTAGATTTGCAAAAAGTAAAAACTCCTGTACAAATTGTGGAGGATTGTGAAAGTTTCATAACTACTTACTCCCATTAATGAATCAAGCGGGGGTTGACAGGGGGGGGGGGGGGGGGG